TATTCTCAGTCAGTCAATGGTGAGAGGAAGGACTGGGGTTTCATGAAACATTTATTTCCTTACTGAATATAATACATAAACACTTGATGTTTCTTCTTGGCTGGGAATGCCATGCCCACATGAGCGAGAAAGGCAGTTGTCTCTTCTGCCAGGAGTTCAGATCTATTTCTGATACAGTTTTGGCATCAAAAGAAAATTGTGGGAAAGCTCTTCTGTTTAATTACTTGCAAAGGACCTATTGTATAGTAATCCAGATACTACTAAAGAGGAGAAGGTATGTATTTATTTGCTCACCAGTTTAGATTCTGTGTAGAAAAGAGTTTCAATAAAACATGCATATTTGTTTTGTTTTTTCTAAACACACAGAGCTCTCCTACAGCAACAGGCAAATTATGGTAATGTCTTAGAGGAACAAGCAGTGGTTGTGTGGTTACTGAGTGGGATCTTTGCCTGCAGTAAAATTTTACTTTACAAACTAAATGTGACAACAGAATCTCATGCATAAACTGTTCCTGGGAGCTGAGACCTATTTAAAACAAGCAGCCTTGTTACATTCTACACATGACTGGAAATCCTTTTAGACCCTGACCTAGTCTTTGAAAGCATGAGTTTCTTGAGCCTGCTTTGTGCAGCACTGAAGGCTTTCCTACATGGCTCTCCACGGGCCCGTGTCCTTTAAGAATAAACTTGTAAACCCATAGGAAACATGGCGCTTGACAAGTTTACCTTAAAAGAATATATGCTCATTTGAACTGTGACCTTTTAAAATTTCACAACCTGTGAATTATTTTTGAGAGGAACAAGAAAATTGTGCCAAAGAAGTTGATAATTGAGCTCCAAAAGGGTTTACACAAATTGAAAAATAGGAAAAAAAGACATTATTTCTGTGACATAGTCTAAATAGAACTCAGTAGAGACAGGGAACCGACTCTGCTTAGCACGTGAAGCCACATCTGGAATACTGTGTCTAGTTTAAAGCCCCTCAGTTCAAAGGATATATCATTAAACTGGATGCAATTAGAGAAGGACCATCATGATGTGGGTAGCTGGAGCTCTTGCTGTGTGAGGAGAGGCTGATGGAGCTGGGGTTTTTCAGCGTGGAAAAGGAAATTGCTTCAGGGGTACCTGCCAGTAGCCTCCAATGTCAATGGGGCAGCATCTCTTCTCCATCAAGGTTGGAGTCCGGCTCTTCGCAGTAATGCTTGGTAAAAGGGTGAGTGGTGATAGATATACATTGAAACAAAAATTTTAGACTGGATATAAAGAAAAATGTCTGAGATGTCAGCCTCACTGAAGTCCTGGTAGACAATATCCACTGCTATCCCTGCATCTGCCAAGCTAGTAATTTCATTGCAGAGGTATAAAATTGGTTGAGTGTGCCTTCCTGTTGGTGAATCCATGATGATTGCTTTTGATCATTTTCTTGTCCCTAATGTGCCTTGAAATTATTTTCATGATTCATTTATCTATCTCTTTCCCAGAGACTGATGTGAGGCTGATTTGTCTGTGGTTCCCTGGGTATTTTTGAAGATAGGAGTGAGATTTGTTGAGTCTTCAAATGGCTTTCCCAATGATCACTATCATTCAAAGACTGCTGAGTGACTTCACAAGAACATCATCCAAATTCATCAGCACCTGCACAGTGCATCCTGTTAGGTCCCATAGATCTACATTGCCAGTTTTGCTTAAGTATTCTCTAATCTGATCTTTTTCCACCCAGAATAGGTTTTCCTTTCTCCAGACTTTCACCCTGCTTCTGGGACCTGGGGTTCCTGAAGGTTTGGCTTGATAGTGAAGACTGAGACAAAGAAGACATTCAGTACTTTAACCTTTTCCACGTTTTGTCACTGGGGTCCTATCTCATGCACTGGGGCTCTATTTCATGGGTGTGCATTTTCTGCAGTCTTTCTTTTGTTCCCTCTGTATCTAAAGAAGCACTTTTTATTGCTCTTGATGTCTCTCATCAGATTAAATTCTAATTGGACTTCAGCTTTGCTAACCATGTCTGCATGCTTGGACTTAGACTATATGCCTCCCAGGTTACCTGTCCCTGCTTCCACCTTCTTTATGCTTCTTTTTTTATGTTTTAGTTTTGTCAGCAGCAACATGTTCATCCATGCAGGCCTCATGGCATTTTTGAACATCTTCCTGCTTGTTGAGATGGACTGTTGTGGAACTTGGAAGTGATCCCTTAATATTACTCAGCTTTCTTGGGTCCCTCTTCTCTCCAGGGCCTTATCCAATGGGACTCTTCCAAGCAGATACCTGAAGAGTCCCAAGTCTGCTTATCTGAAGTCCAGAACTGTGATCTTGCATTTTGCCCTACAATCCCTTCACAATACAGAACTCTCCTACCATGGTCACTGCAGCCAAGGCTGCCTTCTGCCTGCACAGTCCTAGTCTTCCTTTTTTTTTGTGAGAGTGAGCAGAGCATCTCTTCTTACTGTTTTTTTCTGTCACTTGGAACAAGAAGTTGACACTGATGTTCTCCAAGATCCTCCTTCCTCCTACACTGTGTATGCCCCAAGTGGGTTAAAGTGTCCCCCAAGTTATCTAGGACTATGAACGTAGAGCTACTTCAAGCTTTGAGCATGAAACTGGACTAGGAATTTCTCATGTCTAAACTGGATTATCCTATGACCCTGTGATGCTTGTACATTTCTTGGATTATCACATGGCCATTTGTGTTTCTCTCCTGTGGAGAGAGATAGTTTAGCTGTGAGAGGTGACCTCCTCTTAGGGCAGTATGCCATTTGTGTGGGGTTACTCACAGGTCAGGCTCTGTATGTAGCCCCTCAGGATGACTTCCTGATGAACTGTGTTTGCATGGCTACATTTTGGAAGTTGAGGGGGACTACAGGGGTGGCTTCTATGAGGAGTTGCCAGCAGCTTCTTTCATGTCGTGCAGAGCCAATGCCAGCTGGCTCCAGGATGGACCCATTTTTAGCCAAGTCTGACCCAATTAGCTATGGTGGTAATGCCTGTGTGATAACATATTTAAGTCTGGGTGTTTTTAAGGTATTGAGAGAATCTGAATGAGTATTAATACTTGTAGTAAAATAAGAGTTAAGCTTTAGCATGAATTGCAGGAGAGGGATGTAGATAATTGTTTTCTTTACATGCTGGAAACAAGAAAGCTTTTTACATGTTGCATAAAGTAGCTGTTTCTTTCAGTTCTTCAACTAAGCAAATTATATATTCTAATGGGTTTTGCTTGGTTGGATCATTCTGCTTTAATCTTGTTATTTGTTCATCATTGGAGTATGCAGTTGCCTTCCTGACTGTTTCCTGTGAATGAGGCCCACACTAGGATTACATCTCAGTTTTAACAGGCTGTTAGGTGTTTGCAAGTTTTACATTTTTGTTTACAGGTAGATAAAGAACCTATTTATGTTTGCATTGTAAATAATTTCTGGAGCAGCTGTTTATGCCAATAAATCAATGTTAGATTCCTGCTGTAGTTGCCCAATGGCACCTAATTGAAAGCTTTCATCTGATTCCTCCTGTTTTCAGTAGATAACTTCCTCATAGAGTAAATGTTTTCTCCATTTCCACTATAAGATATAAAACAAGAGAAGTCATCAATGAATCACAAAAAAAAAATGTCAACTGAAAAAATTAATTACTATTGGGCATTAGGAATGTGGAGAGTTTGGTAAGAAAATCTTCTTTGGGAAGATCAAGGCATTTCTCTGGTCCTTTCAGCTCTCACCTGTGCTAGATGTTTCACTCAGTAATGCATCAGTTCTTGCTTCTATTTCCTTGAACAGCTTGATGGAAGACAAACAGGACAGCCAAGAGAAATAAATTTCATGACATTGTCTTGGGTGTATATGTTTAAGTTAATTAGTTATGCTCAATTTTATTTCTTTGTTCTCTAATCTGTCTAAACTACGTTACAGGCTCCACTGATCTGTGAAGACTAAATAATGTGCAGGCTTGTACACGGTATTTTCTGACTAGGAAGAAAAAGCTCTTGTTTATTTCTCTTAACTTTGTTGAGGAACCTTAACCATGGGAATAAAATAGGAAACAGGTCTGGTACAGAACTAAATGTTTACTGATGTATTTTTAAACAAGGGAAGTGTACTGACATTGTCAGGTGAAGACAGTGTAAACATTGCTGCAGAGTTTTAATTGTACACTGACTAAGAAGTTTTTTTTGTTTTTTTTTTTCCCCTGCTGTGTAATATGTCTGGTGATTAATCTAGTATCCATTAGGAGTGCAAGACATCAGTGCTATGCACAATAAGTTCTTTCATCCTCGGGCCGAGAACCATTTTGCAGCTGTAATGCAAGGATGCCTACAGATCTGTGTGGGTGTACATAAACTCTAACCTGAACATCTTGTAGTGTTCTCGAGTGGGAGGGTAATTTCGCCTCTTCATTGATTTTACTGATGTCTCTTATGAGCGAGTGGTGCTGTTTCTCTCACCTGTGATGAATTGTGTATGCTACACAATGTGGGCTATTGCTCACCAGAGGATTAAGCAGGAGCAACAAACCTGCTTTATTTTCTTCAAACCTTTCATCAGTGGAAGACAATTGCGTCATCGTGTTAAATCGTAACATTTTGATACAGAAAAGAAAAGAAGACTTCAGGTTTTTCTAGAGGAGACTTCCTCGGCTGACAAAAATGCTTACATTGCATCTGGACTGTTTACAAAAGATTGCCACATTACTTGTACTGAAATCTTCACAAGCAAAGAAATTTTATGAGTAGTCTCAGCACTGTTAAATTAAGCTGTCCTAAGTACCTGCAGTAACCATGGAATTTAAAAGTCTGGATTACTGCAGCAGTTCTTTGTCTGCGATATGGTACGTACTGTACTTGGATTTTAATGGAGCCATTTATACAGATCTTATACTTTCTCATAAAACTCCTCAAGGTGAATGAAAACAAGCGTGGGCTAAATGTTTTCACTTCTCAGTGCTCTTTCTGTTACAGAATCTTGCTGGCTTTCTTAATTGCTAACTTATGCTATTTCTTTGTCTTCTAGAATGTCGGGTGGTGAAATCTACTTCCTATACTAAAATAGCTTCGAGTTCACGTAGGAGCACCACCAAGAGTCCAGGCCCATCCCGACGCAGCAAGTCTCCTGCTTCTACTAGTTCAGGTAAAGCAAGCAAACAACAACAACAACCATTTCTTAACAACAGCAACCATTCTGTCCCAATAGAACGGGAAATGCACTTAAAATTCTACATTTCTGTGGAAAAGCATTGTGTGTACAAAATAGTTGATACTAAAAATTCATGGGTTTTCTCAGTGACATCTAAGGTCAAGTGTCTTCCCAATACAAAATAAAGCTTCAGCATCTTATACTCTGGCATTACAGTGGTTCAATTCACTTTATATTTTCATGCATGTTTTTGCTTCCTATACCTAAACATTGAGGAAAAAAATGTATGGTAGTCTTTGTACTAGGAACTGAATGAGAATAATCCAGAAAGTAGCCCAAGTTATGCAGCATAAGATCTCTGTTGCTGAAAGGGTAATTTCACAATCTTTTTCATATTTTGTTTCTGAGGGAGTGAGGAAAGGATTGATTAAAGATCATGAGGATATTGAGAAAACAACGGCAGGGCAGAGAAAGAATGCAATTACAGATGTGAATGTGACGTGACAAGATAGCTGAGGAAGAAATTTCAGAACTGACCTAATGAACCAGTGATACAGACTGGAGAGAAGACACAGCAAAAAGCTTTAGAAAGTTCTGTCTGAAGAGGCTTGCTTTGGCTGCCTTCACAGTAGCTCCCACTAGATAGCTGATGAGTAGTTTACGCCTGCAGTTTTTCCCAAGCAGAAAAAGTAAATAAACTAAAAATGCATTAAATTGCCAGTATTGGGGCCTGAAGGTACAAAAAATCCTTGGTATGAACCATTTGAGTAGACCCATTCAAGCATTTTCAGCATTCCTTGTGAATACAGATTTTGCAAGAGGCACACATTAGAGCTGTCTGAAATCCACCTCCATTTCTGCCTCAGTCTTCTGCCAAGAGGAAAGCAAATGCATTCTGAAACCTGCATCCAGCACTGTAAGGTCTCTGTTGGGAGGTTATGATCAGAATGGCCCAGTGCTGGTTTCAAAGAGGGTAGAGATAGACCAACTGGAACTTCTTGTTTTTCTTTTCCAGAAAGACAAAGGTGAGAAAAAAAGATCTTGCTCTGGGAAGGAGGAAAGTGGGAGAGACACAGTGAAAGAAGGATAGATAGAGGTAGCAGGGCTGGGAGGCAACTTGCCTCCTACACATCCTAGAGAATGACTGAGTTACACAAACCTGAAAAGAGGTAATGGGATAGAATATCAGTTGTGAGGAACAAGTCCAGAGTAGCTCTTTCATAAATAAGTTACTTCTTTTGTAGCTAGGTGGAACAGAGTTTAATTTAACTTTAGCAAGAGAGGCCCTGTTTGGTGTGTGATTGTTACAGACTCTGGGGTTTTTTTGCTAATAAATTTGTGAGTACAGGTAATGAATACTGAACTATGTATGCTCATTTCTATGTGAAATAAGTATCCTGTGAATAATACAGAATCTGTGGGATTTCTATGGGTTCAGCAACATTTTTTTTCTGTGTTGAATATATGATACCATGTTAGTTTTGGTCCTGAAAGAAATAGTACTGTTTTTACTTAAAGGTGCTGGGGAAGTGTAGGTGAGTAAATCTTAGCTTCTTGCCATTCACTTCTGTGAAGGTCTGAGCAGAATATATTGCATACTTCAAAATATCAGAAGATTATTTTACAGCATGTGGAAAAATGAGAATGATTTTACTATACAACAATAATAATAATTAACATATCATTACATTTATAGCAAAAAATGAAACAATGTAGTAAAAATATTAAAAATACAAGCCATTTTGGATGGTGCTGTGCTGATGACAGATGTAACCATCTTAAACATTTCTTATATGAAAATACACTTATAGGAAGTGGGCACATGTTAGTTTGTCACCAGCAGCATTTCTTCAGGGTTCAGGTCTAGGGCCAGTTTTGTTCAATATTTTTATTGATGTTCTGGATAGATGAGGTGAATGCACCATTAACAATTTTGAGGATAACAACAAACTGGGAGGTGCTGATGACTCTCTGAAAGAACAAGATGCTTTGCAAAGGGATCTAGGTAGATTGGAGCATTGGGCAATGATTAATGGGATGGAGTTTCAGAAAAAGAAATGGCAAATTCTGCACCTGGGATGGAATAATGCCTGGCACGAGTATAAACTGGAGGAGGAGTGGCTGGAGAGCTGCCGTGCAGACAGGGATCTGGAGGTGCTGGTTACCCCACGCAGCAGGCTTTTTACAAGTCAGCTGCATGCCCTGGTAACCAGGAGAGCAAATTGCATCCTAGAGTGTGTCAAACACAGCCAGGAGAAAGAGGTGATCTTCAGGATGTATTCAGTGTTGATGCAGCCTCACCTTGAGCACTGTGTACAGTTCTGGTCACCACAGTTCATGAATGATGGGAAGGTACTCAAATGTGTCCAGAAGTGGGCAACAAAACTGATAAAAGGGCTGGAAGTTATGTCCTATAGGGAGCAACTAAGGACTTCAGGGATGTCTTGTTGTGAGAAAAGGAAGGGCTGAGGAATGACCTGATTGCTCTCTATGGCTTCCTGAGCAGGGGATGTGGAGATGAAGGTTCTGAGCTCTTCTCTCTGGTATCCAGTGACAAGGAATGTTGGAATGGTTCAAAGCTGCACCAGAGAAGTTTTATACTAGTCATTGGGAAGCATTTCTTTTTGAGAGCTTTATCAAGTGTTGGAACAAACTACCCAGGCAAGTGTTTGAGTCAGCATCCATGGAGATATTTAAAAGATGTGTAGACATGGCACTGAGGGACATGGTTTAGTGGTAGACTTGGCAGTGCTGGATTAACAGTTGGATTTGATGATCCTAAAGGTCTTCTCTGGTCTAAACAACGCAATGATTCTATAGCTAGGAAGCATTCCTTTACCAAGAAATACTGTGTGTTTGGTTGGGTGCCAGGTGCTCACCAAAGCCACTCTGTTGCTTCACTTCTCAGCTGAACATGCTGAAGTTTTGGTCAGGCCTGAGTTGGTCAGGTAGTTGGACTAGATGGCTGTTGTAGGGACCTTTCAACTGAACTATTCTATTTTATTTTATTCTATTGTGTTCTGTCCTGTTCTATTCTATTCTAAATTTGTTAAGCTTAAAAAAGATAAATAATTGAAAGTGTTTCTATAGAATTTACTTTTAGTGAGGACAACAGCTCTGATTTGGGTGTATCGCTGGTGTTTGTTTTTTGCAAATAGGTCAAATTGTGTGAATGTTACAGTAACCCTATTTCTAACCTTACATACATGAGTACTTAGATCAGTATTACTTTCATACAAGGAAGCAATATTGTACTAAGCACTTGCTATCAAGAATTGTCTTTAAGTTACATAAAGCTAAAACCAGTCAATTATTTTTTAAAAATGCAATTTTATATTAGACATTGCATTTAAAAAGCACAGTAGGACAAAGAAAGAGGAACAACGACTCTTAAATTGTTTTAGACAAAACCCGAAGTTTTCCCATGAAATGCAAACAATATGTAGAGATTCCACTCTTCTGCCACCCAGCAAGCATAAAAATGCTGCTTGCTTCTTTGAATTATGTACCTGTGACAGAAGCAGAATAGAGAAATGGCCATCTAGCACACATACGAGCAGCTAATTTTTTCCATTATGTCTGCATTAAATGTCTCAGTACTAGAGAAGCTCCTGAATGGCTTGTGCATAGCTGGAAGTTATGACTTCGGTCTCATGTTGTTACTGCTAAGTGTATGTACATGTATTTTTATTATATGTTTTTTAACTGCTTTCAGTTAACCTTTAAACTACTTTTAGGGATTTTTCTTCGATTAGCAATAAACAGGGAAAATAAGAAAAAGAGTAGATTCTTTGTTCTGATCAAAGATCATTCATACATATTACAAAAAGTTAAAGGTGTATAATTATCTGAAGTGTTTTGTCATAGAACAAAGTTGAAACAAGTAGGGATAAAGTGAAGCAGAAAGCATTCTTGGTAGTGTACCCTTGACAAAAAACTGAGAGGTGAATGGAAAAGAGCTTTTTGCTAATTACAAAGAATTTGATTCCTTTTGTTTCTTTTTGATTCTCTCTGCACTTTGAGAAGTCTGCACATTCTAACAGCACAAAAGGATAATATTTCTGCTTCAGACTTAAATTAATGTTCATATTAAGAAAATACACATGGATAATTACATGGGCCAAAAAAAGAAAGTTCTATAGACAAAGACTATGCTAAAAAATATTCAAATCTCAGAATTGGGTATTCAAACTAGTAAAATTGTCTCCTGAAGAGATATCCTTGAGTTAACTTTTATTCTCTTGTGTATGCATCTATAATATGGTACAGTCTTTAATGCAGGTATTCAACAGCATAGCTGATTTGGATTCATCATTTTTAGAGTTAATGAAGGCAAAGTCTTGGTCCATTTCCCCCTTGTTAGACAAATAGATGTATAAACGAAACTAAGACATGTAGACAACCTGTCCTGGTTTAAGCACTTAAATGCCATCCTCAACAACTGTTTCCCTTCTTTGACACAGAATTTCAGGTGGCAATGAATTAAGCTTTGGCTTGCACTAACTATTTATAAATTGGATGAAGTCCATGAGTTCGTTTTTCTGAGCAAATGGTGGTTTGGGGTGATAACTTTCCCAAATTCATCCCAATAGCTTCTGAAGTTGCTTACAGAAATCAAAGGGGGGGTTGAGGGGTTGGTAATTTGTTGTTTTTCTGTGTCTTGTTTTTGCATTGTAAGTCTGGAAAAACAATATTTTACCAAAACTGGTGCTTTCAAGATAAAATCAATAATGTTATATTGTTTTTGAGGAAATTCTTCTTTAAGGTCCTTGCTTTCCATTTCAGTCTCACCTTGTTGTGGTGACCCCTGACTCTGTGAGGAACAGGCAAAGGACCCTTAATGTCCCCTCTCCCTGGGGAACCACCAGCCACTGTCCTGGAGAACCATTTCCCTCAATTGTCTCATCTGCTGCTGGGGAAAAAGTACTCTTAATGACAATTCCAATGCTCTTAGATAACTTTCACTCTTTGCAGGTGCCTTTTGCCCTCTATTG